CACTGTTAGAATGTACATATGATTAAAGTTATAGATCGTTACATTCTTTGTAAGTGGGCAAACCTGCAAAATCAGCAAGGGGTAAAACACTTATTTCCCCCACTGTATATAAAATCACTTTCGATATCCTGACCAGGTTTTTACCCCGTCACCGCGTAACTATGGCGACATCATCGCGGCGGCGGTGCTGAGCGGGGACTCTTCCTCCGCCTGGGCTCTGTACGACGAGCTGATGGAGAAGGGCCTGAGCCCCCCCCCGGAGACCTGGGAGGCTCTGTTCAGGGCCGCGAGGAAGACGAGGGAGGATGAAGAAGGAGAAGAGACTAAACGGCGGCTGCTGGGAATCCTGCAGCACATGAGAGACAACCAGATCTACCCGTCACACAGCATGGCCAGCAGCATCAAGACCTGGTTTGAGAGGTAAAGCTGAACCTCTATAACAGAGTTTAACTGGTTCCAGGAGCGACTTCTGTGTTAAATATTGGTGTGTTGGTTCAAATCTTCCATCAGAATACTCTGTAATTCCTAGAATTGGTTCCAAAAAGCTACGATAACTCCTTAATAAATACTGCAGATAATTACACACAGCAAGAAAACAAATGACTTCTAGAAGAGAGATGGAAAAAGAAATAAATGATAAAGAAATAATCAGTTAAAAGGGTTTTTATTGTCCCTTTAGCTCAGAGACTGAAGAACGGAGGTAGAGGTGGAGACTGAGATACAGGACCAGCCCTAACTCACTCTGACTTTAGACAGGAACTCTAAATTTAACTTATTTATTTTGATTCAATTTATATATATATTTATTTATTTATTATGTGACTTTGTCGTATTTTTTACATTTACTTCGGGTGTCGAGTTGAATATTTGATCAAATTTCACTTTGTATGTTGGAAAATTCGTATATTTAGGTATCGTAAGCAGAGGTTCTGCTGTATTGTTTAATTATGACACAGATTTAGGTGCAATGAGCATCATAATAAAATATATTTTGCACTTTTGCACTCTTGTAATTCTCTTTAAAAAGCGGCATTTAAATAAAATATTTGATCAAGAAATTATAACTGGAGGGAAAATGGACTCTTTTGGCACTTTAACCTTTATAGCTCGATCACAGACCAAAATTTGTACTGAAAATCTTTTTTTTTCTCCTGTATGATGCGTTTATCACCTCTTTTACCTCTCATTGCTTTATTCTCTTCTTCTTCCCTCCTGAATTAAGTCTGAATGGACAGAAATGGACAGGAAGCTGGACCAGCATCAGCCCAAAGTAACGCCTGTTTTCTCTAGTTTTTACACACACTCACACTGAGAGACGCTGTGTGTCCCTTATTCATGTGAGTGTGTTTGTGTTTGTGTTTGTGTTTGTGTTTGCGTTTGTGTTTAGGGGAGTGTGCAACAGTTGTGGGTCAGAGCTGGAGTCCATTCAGCTGACCGAGGAGGAGTACCAGCAGCTCAAAGGCAGAGTTATGGCCGACATCATTCAGGGGAAAGATGTTTTCAACAAGACCACTCCAGAGGTACGCACATATGGAGATAGAGTCCAGAAAGAGTCCACAAATCCTAAAAAAACAACAGCTATTTTTTGCTAACATCCACTAGATGGCACCAATGATCCACATCCAGCAGCAGCTTTTTAAATACAGTATTATAAGTATTTCACCCCTTGCTGATTTTGCAGGTTTGCCCACTTACAAAGAATGCTTATTTTTCCTCATCAGATGCTTATCAATTTTTATAAATTCATATGATGTGATTTTCTGGCATTTTCTTTGGGATTCTGTCTTTCACTGTTAGAATGTACATATGATTAAAGTTATAGATCGTTGCATTCTTTGTAAGTGGGCAAACCTGCAAAATCAGCAAGGGGTCAAATACTTATTTCCCCCACTGTATGTAGATAAGAGAAAGAAAAACAGAACTTAAACTGAGCTTCTGATTGATGTA